GTGGTCATCTTTACGAAGAACAGTCTGTAGTGGTGTGACAGCCATCTCGCGTGAGTGATGCGTGCACGAGGGCCCGTGTGCACCAATGACCCACCCTTTTTCTTATTGGCCTCTGTCAGCAGTCGCCTGTTACGCACGCGTACTCATGCGCACACTAGGCCACTTGCATGGTGTCACTAATAAACGGTCGTGTTCTCTGTCACCTCCTTTTCCCCTATCCTTGGGCAGTTACGGGCTGTTGACCAGAGGGTTGTAAGGTAGTGCTAAGTTCCCAGCCACTACAAACCGACTTCAGATTTGTATTGGCAAGCGCTATTATAGCTATCACATTGGAAATTAAGTGCAGATCGGTTCCATTGCAATGCATCGATGACACACAGCATGCGAATTGTGCATAAAGGTGGTTAAGTTTTTGCTCTTAAAAGAAGGTTAATGGTGAATGCTTATAAATGACTGCGCAATTCGTTAGAGAGTGCTTGTCAAGTGACAACACTCTTCATTTTCGAGTGCATGTTGTCATGGAAACATCCAGAAAGCAGATTCTGATGCCATGGATGTTGCCACCATTCAAGCACAGGAGCAAACAGGCAAAATTCAAGTCCCTTGACTTACCAAGTACTACAAATGCAGGCATAGGCCAATTGGATTTTAACTCTCAGACGAAGGAGGGTGGATGTTTGTGTGATGAGAATCAAACTGTGGATCAGCACCTTCAGCAAGAAGCGACGTCCAAAAAAGAAGAAGTCAGATGTGGAGGAAATCCACCCTGACTACCTGATGCAGGCTTTCTACGGTGACAGGCTGCTCTCGGCAGCAGCTAGCGATGCGCGTTCTGCCGGCGGGATGGGAGGTATGAGCGGCAAGCGAAAACGTCGAAGGCTCTCTTCGACCACTCCTATGACTGCAAGTAACCGCTCGATGTCAGCTGCCTCTACCGACCAATATCAGCCTGAGGAGGCACCCGATCTTAACAGACCGGTTCGTCAGCATTTATTTACCATATATTGTATGCTCTCTGGTTCCACCACAGTTCATCCTTCCCTCTATTTCTGTACACCGCTAAGTTGCATTGGTGCTTATTAAATCAGAACTTGACTGTTCATAAACTGGTGTCTGTCAATGCATTCTCGCGAGGTATTGTAATTTGGCACCACATAATCGATAATTCAATTTCTCATTCTATAAACCACTTGTATTTCCACTGTCAATGATTTTAGTGATTCTTGTTTCTACTTTGTCTACTTCTGGCTCAAGACCCACTCAGTGTAATTGCAGCAAGTAGTTACCAGTCATGTTCTAATAAAAAATCCTATTTCGTGCAATCACTGCCTTGTTGCCATTAGTTAGAGCTGGTTTCATCAATATCTGTTTGAAAATTCTTTCATTTGTCAGTTCCTAACAACTTTCTGTAAGACGTCCTATTGAAGCCCACTGACTTAGCAGTTTCAGTTATTTACCTTTCACAAAAGGTGCTACATTTGTTGGGCAACGTCATGATTATTAAGTTAACAAAGTTAACAAAGCGCCCGATCAAGGTGTGAAGGTTCGGTGAATCCACAGATGCTGCTGCTGCTATCAGCATCAGTTTTCCTTGAAATGTAACAATTTCAGCGTCACCGTGAGACATAAGTTGGTGGATTGCAGGAGTTTGCATCGAAGATTTGCGAATCTCTGAAGAAGCCGGTTACATTGTCATTGCGCTTATTTGCAGATTGATGTTTGGGATGGTTGCACACAGTCCTTGAAGATTGCCAGTTCTCGGAGTGGATTCGCCTCTCCAGTCACGGGTTCGACCGGTCGACAACACCTGTGGACCAATGAATCGCACTTTCATGCAGGCGCTGCAGCAGCCTCGGAGCTTTTGGAAGATGATACTCATGGTGACGAGGATGAGTATGGCGAAGACGAGAAAACCGTGGACAGCTATGATGATGACGGACTTGAAGAAATATTGAATGAAGTATTGAACGTGCCATCAGGTTCCGTTGGTGTTGGTGGTGATTTGGTCGAGCCACATCCGCATCCTTCAACTGTCTTAAAACAACACCATCTGCAACAATCACAGAATGGGTCTGTCGAACCGAGCGTTCAAATGCAAACTTTTAAGCTCCTTTATCGTGTTTATTTTTTTGTATTCCTACTCTCGTGTATATTTATCTCACTTAATCTAATTCGTAGCCCTTGATGATGTCAATGATTGCATGCTCCTAGACGACTTCCTGAGCATGGCCGGCAATTTCGCTAACACGAGTATCGGTACCCAGGATGCTGCAAATCCAGTTGCAGCACCTTCCGTCGGAGTTGTTCATAGTAGCACCACCTGTTTCGGTGCTTTTAACGGTCCAACATCCATAAAGCAGCGCCTCGCTGTTCCACCTGCCCAGGGGATATTGCCTCTAGGTGCATTTGCTGAACAGCCACAAAAACGAGCAGAACAGGTTGTTTGTGTAGCGGATCCGAAAACGGAAATCGAATTGTCGCCTAGTGTTAGTGTTAGTGCGCGGCAAGCTGACTTTTGATTTGCCAGAGGACATGCGAATTCACCTATGCTGAGTAATTGTCGTGTCACTTTTCTAGTCCATACCAGAAGTTGTTTGCGTGCAGCACCCAGATCAAAGCCATCCCATGTTTGCTGAGGATATTCAAAATATTGCCTCGCCGAGGCCACAGGATTCGCAGCAGACATGTCAGCAGCAACCCGTTGTTGTCGCTGCACCACTCGCTTCAGCTAAACCTGTCCCGCAGCCTCAGTCAGAGCCCCAGGAACTGCCTAAGTTGAGTGCCTTTGCCGTCGATTCACTACTGAGTCAGTTTGATACGACCGGAGGTGGTGGTAGCGGTGCTTATGTTGACCTCGCCTCGGATGGACCTACACCACTACCCCCTCCCACACCACAACCAGCAACAACTGCTAGAACAGAACCCGTGCTATCTCAAGCACTTTCGGTAACCCCTTATTCACATTCAACCGAGGGGCAGTCCATGCTTGCAGCGTACCCGCCCCATGGAATTATGTCTCAGCAACAGCGACCTCACTTGTACCTTCAACAACAACAACAACAAGAGCAGCAGGTTGATTTGAGTGGGAGTATGGTGGACCCTGGAGTTCCTCCTCCACTCGCACACTATCCCGGATCGAGACCACCAATGGTCTGGCGACAACCAGTTTCCCACAGGTTCCCTCAATTCAAGTCGCAAACAGCTTACGTGGCGGCTAATCAGCAGCAGCAGCAGCATCGACAGCATCTACAAATGCAGCATAGCTTCCAAGCTGCTGTGTGTAGGGGTGATTCGCCAAGCATCATGTCGTCCGCTGGAGCAGAAGCAATGTCGCCGAAGTTACGGCAGTCACCATTGCCAGTTGTGTATGCTCAAACACCAATATCTTCGAAGAGTGGAATGTTGCCGAATCAGCAGTTAACGACGATGCTACGGCAGGGTAAGCTGTTTCCAAGTGTTCGTAGTTCCGGTGGTGATCTGATTGATCAGAGAAGGCGTAGCACAACGACGCTGTCTAATTTTATGCAATCTGGCGTAGCTGCAAAACGTCCACAGTCATTTACACAACCTCCACGCCCCTTCCTGCATCAGTTGGTACACGAACAAGCAATACCTCCACCATCAACTTTGACACACTCGTCAGCTTCACCGCAGGTTGTGTCTAGTCACCGCTTCCAAGGATGCTGAATTATGCAGGAGATCAGAGATCATTGGAGGCAGATCAGAGGTGTATGGCCATGGTACGTTGATGATGGTGATGATGTTAATGATGATGTCCAACAGTTGACAAAGAGGCCGGAAGGACAGAGGGTGAGCGAAGCGACGCTCGAACTGTTGCGCTGGCCTTTGAAGCCACCACAGGCGACGAGGTGGACACCGTCGGCGACTGGACCGAGGTGCTGCAGCGAGAGGCGGACAGGGTCCAAAAACAAGACTCGAAGGAGGGCAAACTGCGTGCGAGGCTACTGGTGTAAGAGGATTGAGCAGAATGCTGCTACGGAGAGCCGTCACTGCAGCTTAAAGAGCTTGACAGGGAAAGCGGCGGAGCAAAGGGCTGCGAGGCACGCGTTGACTGTCGCTGATGGGAGTAAGGTAAAGGCGTTAATGGCGAATATGACGGCGGAGGCTGAGGTTGCTGCTGCTGCTGCTGGAGCATTTGCTGCATTGGTACCTGCAAGTAAGTCAGACTCGAAGCTGTACATACCCAAACGCAGATCGTGATTACAAACTAGAGCGATGCACTAGAATCGAGTGAGATGCAATCTGTCGAGCGCAATCAAACGAAACAACTTTTTGAATGATAGTCCTCAGCAAGCACTAGACCACAGCACAGCTCATCACTAGTGAAGAGACGTTAGCGTAGGGTTTCGTACATTTTGCTGTGGTTGTGCAGCGTGCGGTGAGGTTTGTTGAGGGAGTGGCGGCAACGAGTGTTGCTGATACGAGGTAGTTGGGGGTGTACCGGACACGGACTGCTGCTGCCGCTGCTGCTGGTGCTGTTGTGCTGCAGCAGCTATCTTCTTTTGGTTCATCCTCTTGGGAAGAATTTTTGAAGCTTCTGACGTTTAACGTCGCCAGTGGAAGCACCCACTGTGTGTGGGGTCAGCGGGGATAGCGGTGGCTGCTGCAAACTGGCAGCACTCGGGAGGGACAAGCCGTGAACTCCTTCACCTAGTCCCACGATGTAGTGTTGTGGCATTGGCGTTGGTGGCTAAAAAACAACATCTCCAACAATTAGATGCATTTAAAGTAGCACAACGATGACAATACGTTGATAGAGCAGCGGCCGTGACAATAGAAGGACCAACTGACGCGCTCAAATGCGTTCACCTAATGGCAAGTGCAATCGAGTGTTTAAGATAAACGCGAATTTGGAAGAGAACGATCACTCCATAAAGTCGTGGAGGTTTACTTAAAGTTTACTGGGACACACCAATGCAAAACCTCAAGCGCAAATATCCAGCCCACTTGTTTAACTCTTCATCGACCTCCGCTACACTTGCGATAGAACATAACCCGGACGAGTTAGCGCCTCAGTCAAAGGCAGAGTACGCCTTCAGACGCAGCCTTGAACGCATTTCAGTGTAAAGTAAACTTAAAGGTAAATGGTTGTGATTGGCGTGCTTCAATTAACTTATACTCTGTTACTGCAACATGACCATTACCTTTTGCATTATCTGGCCAGCCTCATACGACGACATGTGTCGCGGGGATGTTATGAGATGCGGTCGGTGCTGTTGCTGCATCATGTCTTTCTGTTGTCTATGCTGACATAAGAGCTGCTCCTGCTGCTGCTGTTGCAGGTGTTCATGAGATGTTGGCGCTGGAGATATAGGAGAGGGATGCCTACCACCTAACAGCCTCGGATGCTGGGGCGAGGCCGTGAGGGACGAGTTGACCCCTGTGCAGCCCAAGGGTTGCTAAGTTGGGGATGGCGGCGGCAGCGGTATTGGTGGCAGGTAGGACCCCTGTTGCTGCTGCGCCAGTGTCGACAGTGGTTGTAGCTGATAATGATGGAGATGCGAGCAGTTAGCGCCTCAGTTACCATGGTGGTGCAAGTGATGATGATGATGGTGATGATGATGATGATAAAGTTGACAATGAAAAATTCTCGCGCATCTCAAATGCGTTTATTAGAATCGACTTTACATTAACACACATCAGCTCAATCTGATTTCAGCACTGTCGAATCACTCATAATGACACGTAAGCCCGTGTTATTCTGATGGCTATTTGTCCACTATTGACTTGAAGATGAGATTTACTTACAAGGACATATTACCCACGCATCTGATATTAACCAATAAAACAGACTCACGAGGTCGGGAGTCGTCGACAAGAACGCATTAACAGAGGTGTCCTGTTGATGCTGATATGGCGACGACGAAGACATCGCAGCGGGAGACGGGTGCTCCTCATTGTGGGAGGGCGGTGGAGGCAGCGAAGTCGGGCCACCCCTTTGCGTCATCGTTCCACCAAGCACAGAACTGGGAGATTGCGATGGAGAGGGTTGGGAGTCGTCCACTGAAGGGGTACTGGGAGGCAGGAAGCCAAAGATAAATGAGCCCGGAATATGTGGGATAAAGGTTGTTCCTGGGGTATGCGGGAGAAGAGTATCTCCACCGCTGACGACTAGGGGCGTTGGACATCCTGTCTGCATCATCGATAGAGAATGGCTGGGTTGTGTTTGAACGCCGGCCCCACTGTTTCCTCAATGAGTGAAAGCATTTGAGCTGGCCGGATATTGAGTCCTATTATCGCGGGCTTGTTTCTGAAAGGATTTGCATATGCAAAGTTACATGGGATAGCCATGCCGAATCTGATGCAGCACCACATGGCTACAGAGCAAACTCACCACTAATTTCGAACGATTTTCATAGAGCAGGCGACGTTTCATTACTTAATCAATGATCATGCACAAAGGCTTTGTTAAACACACAAGACTCGAGCACGATAGCATACATCCAAGCACAAGTTGAGGTCAAAGCTGAAGTCGAGTGTGCGTTCACATGCGCCCACTTATACATGTCTTCCCGATCATGGTCTGATGAGTTGAGTGATCAGCACTGAATGAACTGAGTTGTCAATGCTAGCAGCAACGTGATGTGAATGTAGATCTGTCATCAAGTGTACGGAGCCAAGTGAAAAGACGTCACAGATAGCAGTGCAAGTTAAAATGTACTGGAGAATGTTGACATTCCTAGCAGAAACATAATTCTTTGAAGCCAGAAATGCCTCTCCAAATTGACCGGATTTCAGTAAGCTATGCTTTAACGGCGTCGACCAAATTCTAACTCCTTGTCGGTGGCGCGATACACGAATTCGCATTGGATTCACGTAAAACTGGAACACGCAGTAGCTCTGTTTGCCTTTCGCCACCTCACTTCCTGAATGAAGTCTCAATCGTTTAAAAGAGGGAGATCGTCGGAAATGCATCACTTTTGCCTCATCAACGTTACCAAGCTGATTCGAATCAACAGTGATTTCTGAGTCGAGTTGAGTCACTATGCACAAATTTCGGGCTCTAAATATGGTTC